GTCCCATTACTTTTTCACATATAAAAATATACAAAATAACATGCCGCTGTAATCATGTGTTCTCCTTTACGGTTGTATATTTTTCAAGATAATAATTAAAAATTTTTGAGTAAATATAAAAATTAGAGTCTAAAATCAAACCAGGAAGTATATAATTTGATTTGATCATACCCCAAACATGATATGAAGAGTTATTTTGAGTAAGTTCATTTGGAGCTTGTAATAAAATTAGTTTTTTTAAGCATGTGATCTCCTTTACGCATATATCTAGTGTAGATACTCAAATTAGGTCATTTTGTTATATCGTTATAAACAACAGCCAAGACATTTGTTGTTATCAATAACTGAGAGGGTAAGAGTAAATTGCATTCTTCAATAAAAATCACTGAATGTTCTCCTTTAATTCAATTTTGCTGAAGAGGGGAATATATAGAGTGAATAATGCTTTTCCCACCATATTCAGTTTCCATCATGTGCAGATGATTATAGTAGGGTGGATTTGAAATGTATTAGTCACAAATCAACTCATTTTTCTGCAAGAAAAGTCCTTGAAAGTGGGATTACATAACAAGTGTGTATCTCTTTAACTGTATAACTAACATTCAAATGGAGTGAGTGGTAGTAGTTTTAGGTTTAAATGACTGATAAATTACATAGATAAATCTGTGAGCAATAATTAGGATCTATTTATAAAGACAGATAATTGGAGACATGTAAAGGAGTTCACAGAATGGGTAAAGCAGATCACCATTTTAATTCAACTCCGTATCTATGGTTTGCACTTCTTAGTATAATGCCATATTATAATAAAAGCTTACATTTATGATCTGTGTGAGATAGCCTAATACAAAATAACTATACTTATTAGCCTGCTATAGCTGAATTTACTGTAGAAATGTAAAGGAGATCACATTCATTTCTAAACCTGTCTTTGTAAAAGTTTACTCTAGCAAATCTTATGGGCAATTAAGATTTATATATATATATTACAATCACTGAAAATATATGTTATTGACTTAATGTAAACATATGATAGCCAGGGTCACATGGAAAGATTGATGTGATCTCCTTTACATTCAAGACTTACCTCTAGATATCACATAGATTAGTCTTAAACATTTATTAACCAACTCTTTACTGATGTTTGGTTAGAGAATAAAGCAAGTTTGCTGACAAATGTCCAGTATATGTTTCAATTGCTGTGAACAAAAGTTTCCATGGCATGAAAACTGTTGTTCTAAATAATTTATTTTAATGCACATTTTGGAATACTTATACAGTTAGGTGTTCTAGATTAGTTCATTATACTAGAATTTGAAATAATAATCTTTATTTTGTCAAATGATGTATAATTGAGTCTTCAATAAAGAGTTTTCTGACTTATTTACAATGTGTTTGCTTTTTGCCTTTTTATTCCAGGTAAAATATACTCTGGTAAAGGAGAACACATGTGAAAAACAGTAGTCATCTTCATCAAGGTGGAAAAATATGACAGAATATAGCCCGAGTGCTAAATTTTTGGCACAAGGTTTTTCAGTAGTAATATTTTTAAGAACTGTATAAATCATACTTATAGGAGAAGATTTCTTTTCAACATTTTCCAGTTGAAAAATGGACACTAAAAAGAAAAGCCTAGCCCATAATGTTAAGCCTACTTGCACTCACTAAGTGCATCACTTTTTTGTGGTTTATCATTTCAATATTAATCATGAATTATTTTAAATTAGACCATATAACTCTTAATTAAAATTAATTATTAATATTTAGAAATAACATACAAATTCAAAAATATTTGTTCATTTAATGATGTTTTAAATGTTAAATTAAATTTAAAGAGGATAATTACCTTGGAGGATGTTAGCGTTTACTTATTTTTTATGAGGCCAATTATTATGCCTTTTATGAATTCTCTCTGTATTTTTACAAGTTATTTAATTATTTGAAGAAACAGTGACATGAATTCAGCATTTTTAAAATTTTGTTTGTTAAAACATTTTAAATAATCTTTCTATTTTGATATTTACATTTCATGCTTGTATTGTCTATTACAATTTAATTTACCCAGGATTTGAAAGAAGAACGCCGAAGAGCTCAAATGGCAGCAGCTCGTCAGATCTTAGAACGTTCAACAATGATGCTACTTGGAACAGTTTTATATATGTTATAAAGGTGTGGTATGACTAAATTTCGTAATATACCAAACACACTTACATTTTGTCTATCTCCAGACAAATGAGCTAATTCAACCATTTCAGTACCAAACTGGCTGAAAGCTTTCACAAATTCTGTAAAGTTAGCCACATTTTCCAGTCTGTTCAAACTAATAGACACCTATAATAAGAAAATGTTTTCTGAATTAGTAAATACATTGAGGAATTTAAGACACACCTACTCCAACCCCATAAACTACTTGACTAGAAGTAATACTCAAAGATATTTCTTAAATATGCACCTACAATGTCTTAATAATGTTGGATGAATGTGTTACACATTGATCACAATATTATTATACTTGTGGATATAGCTCAAAACACAAGAAACTTTGAACTATAACTGTATTTCATTTTGAACCAACCACATCATGTCATAAAGGTAATGATATTTAACAATGAATAACAGTGGTAAAAGTATAGACTAAGTCTCATAGCTCAATGAACAGTTTACTTTCTAACTAATGACATAAAGAATGTATCTTCATATTTAATGATGATATCAATAAGTTTTTGAAATATGTAAAGTATAAAGTATTAATGTATCTTACTAAAGATATGTACTTTTATTAAATATAGTAGCTTCGAGGACATAGACTATGTAACTAAATCATTATAAATTTTAATTATACTTTAAAAATAATGAAAATTTGTGACAGTGTAGTTGAAAATGGTAATATTTTCAAAATATGACATATACAAAATATTAAAGACCCTGTAAAACCACAGATTCTTGAGGATCAAACTATTAAGATATTAGTATATTATAGCATATTAGTATACATCTTAAATTTTGTAATGGAAAATAAATTCTAGTGACAAAAGAACAAAAAGTCATTTAGAGCTCCACTACAATTCAATCTTACTACATTTCTTTGATACAGTTATTTATACTTGCAATAAAAAAATTTTTATTGAGTCCACAAAAGAACATTTTGCTTGTGTTGAAGCTTTCTAGATGGGACTATCTAGTACAGTAAGCAAATAAACAAGCCAAAAAAATGTATAGACTACTAAAAATATTTACATAAGAAAGTTTCACACATCATATCTTTAAATGTCAGTTCTCTTGTATGTGATCAATACCTCATGGAAAGACATGCCACAAGTATCTGCTAAGTCTCAAAGTAATTTTTATTCATAATACTCACTCTGTCTTTTGCACTCAGTAGTTGTTTGAGTACAACAGTATCAGCTAATATCAACACTTGTGTTACTGATGATAGGAGAGCCCGTGCAGCTCGAACCATACCATTTTTATCAGCACAGTGACGAGCTTGTCCAACATCTGCTCGTTGTATTTCGCATAGCTGTTCAATCATACCACCTAACACAAAGTTAAATAACTCATCTATAATATTTAACATGAAAAGTAATGATACTTGGTTACTTGCAATATCATATTTGAAAATTAAAAAACAGAAACAAGATGTTTGATAAATCATACCAAATTAAAATAATGCAATTGTATAAAATAGATTGACACTCTATACAACCACCTGATAAATACAAAACTGTTAAACATAATACATATTTGATACCAAAGGTAGAAAAGTGCCTGAAGTAGATATTTTTCATGTCTACAAATGAATACAGAGGATGATAATGAAAGATGTTTTTGTAAGAACAAGAAAAGCTTTTTAAATTGTTGATTGTCTAAACATACAAGAATAGCTGCAGAAACTAACTATACAAGGGTAGATACAGAAACTAACCATACAAGGGTAGATACAGAAACTAACTATACAAGGGTAGATACAGAAACTAACCATACAAGGGTAGATACAGAAACTAACATACAAGGGTAGATACAGAAACTAACCATACAAGGGTAGATACAGAAACTAACTATACAAGGGTAGATACAGAAACTAACTATACAAGGGTAGATACAGAAACTAACCATACAAGGGTAGATACAGAAACTAACCATACAAGGGTAGATACAGAAACTAACCATACAAGGGTAGATACAGAAACTAACTATACAAGGGTAGATATAGAAACATGTGTTTTAGAGCTATACTTTAAGTTTCTCCTTGAATTATTATTCCTACAGAAGATATGAGCAATTTGATGGCTCATGATTTTTGTACTCTTCCAGATGGAATTTCAAAGTAAACATTGATAGATGCTTTACCCAAAGGACTGCACCTGAGACTTTTGTGGGTATGTTTGTATAACTTTATAGTTATCTATAAACACACGGTCACAACTTTCGGTCTTGTAGGTCTGTAGCTGTCTTTCAATAGTCATTAGGGTAATTGTACTCTGAAACTGTACAAGGAGTGTTTTGAACTGTGATAAACTCAGATGGAAATATTATTGTTTCACTGTCATTTCAAGCAATTTCCTGGTGATGCCAAATGTAGTAGGTTTTCTAACTCATGATAGCAGTACTGTAACATTAAGCATGACTATGGGTTTGGTAGTCAGATGTAACAGGAAATGTGTTTGACTATTTTACTGGCATGTGTTAGCACTACATCAGAATGTGTGAATATTGATACACTGTAGTTGATGGCACAAGAATAAGCTAAAATAATTATAGTGAGGGAGAGCCTCAACTGAGAGATGGTTTTTATATTCTCTTTTCTTTAGAAAGATAATGGAAATTAAAAGTTATGTGATTTTTGGACATACTAATTAACAATTTGGAAAACATGGGAGGATAGCACTTCTTTCTTTTCCTCCTGAAGCAAGGATAAATTGTGTAGGTTGAAATATGTTTCTGCTATAATATTTAGAACTGACTAACTGTAATGGAGCAGTGTTTTTGATTAGAATCTTATGTCAAAAAATAAGATCATAACTCCACCCAAGAGCAAGAAGTAAGCCTATTTTTAAAATTTTCTATGAGATTCAAATCACATGTTATGATAAAGTTTTATAAAAAAGTGTTAGGGTTTTGAGTCCATTTTACATCATCATGCAATAACCTAACTTATTTGTTGCATCTCTTTGCCTTTGTAGTAGTATTAAGAAATATCAAGAAGAATAACAATGTTTAAGGTAAAAGGTTGTATGAAGTGTTGAACTTTGGGAGTTATAACAAGATAAATATATATATAAGAAATTAAGGAACTGACATTGAACCCTAAACAGCAAATTGAAATAACTGTTGCACCCCCATCCCCATGTATTGAGAATAGTAAATTAAATCTAAGGGATTTACTTCTCTGGTTAAATAAGAAAGTTCAAATCAACAACTTGTAAGGAATATAAAACCAATTATTGAAGCTGGCAATCTCATACTTGTAGATGATGTAGAGAGACTTTCTTCTCCTTCCTAGATTACTTCGGATCTGGGGAAATCCTTTGTGGGTGGAAAATATGGTTATCAGCAAAGAAGTGGAGATACAGGAAATGTCTCTACTTTTCCCCATTGCAGTCCAATAGTGAATGCTTATAGTTTTGTCTGTCAGCTTTAGATGTTATTTGGACCTTGAGCATTGCTGTCATAGGATGATCATGAGCTGGTCTGATCTAGTCAATATCTCTAGCTCAGTTGAAGTACCCTGTGGTGATATAGTGGTGAGAGATGCTCATGGTTTCTTAGTTAGTGACTTCAGAATGAGCCAAAAGGTGGCCTTAGGTCAGATCTCTTTTGTCTAATGCATCATCCAGCAATGCATCTCTATCCATGGGCTCTGTCAAAATGAAAGCAGGGCAATGCCCAGGAGGTCTTAAGCACTAAAGTATAGTTGGGCATATCTGTAAAGTTGCCATTACAATAAAGAAACCCCCTTAATAAGATACATAAGTACAAAATGAACTAGTTAAAAGGGGATAAATAGTTTTCATTAAATACATAAATACACACACAAAACACACCATGAGGAGAGTGGCTCACCTACAGAAATCCTGATAGTAGGTCTTCTAACACAGCAGAGGATATTTGGTGCATCATGCTGGTCTGGTGAAGGGTCTCTAAGGCTCTTGTAAATGCCTTTTGAGTCCTCTCCAGCTCACACTTCTCTCCAACTGTGATGGAGCTTCTCTACATTTTACTGGTTATGATCCTCATGGTTATATAGCACCCAGGCCTCCATCCACCTGGCAGTGCTCTTAGCATATTTACTCTACATTGTTGTTGATAACACATCAGGAGTTACTGGCAACACATACAGAATGATCTGAAACTTGTTAGTTGAGAATCAATATATCCTTTAGGAGCAGAGTGTTAAAACTATTGCCATGGTCAAGTGACATTTCTACAGGCTCACATCACTTGTAGACAATGTATCCTCTCACCTTTGGCTTCATTGGGTCTGGCACTTAACCACACTTTAGCTGTACTCTCTGAGGGCAGTGGTCCACAACTATCCTGGATCCCAGCCAATTCCTCTCACTATTATCTGTTTTTTTTTTATACAAAATAGAGTCCAGATGCAGTAGGAAAGAAATGGGGGGCAAGACTGGAAACTCTGGTACCTTCACAAGGAACCAAAAACTACTAGGTCCTCCATCATGTAGACACTAATATTGTTTCTCTGAACATGGAAGTTCATTAACACTAACCTAACATCTTGTTTCTGTTTTTAACTATTTTCACCTACAAATCAACCTAGTTAAAGAAAAGCACAAGGCAAATACCACATAGATGTTATTTCTTCTCTCCAGCTCACAGTCTCCATTTTTGTGCAACATAACTGTGACTTGTACTGAAATGTTAAGAAAATATTCAGAAGTATTTCAATCTGCATGACTACAAAACATTTACTCACAACCAAACAAAACATTGGGTACACCAAGTTTAAGTTTGTCATGGCACCTGTCATTTTTGTGAATTTCATTTGAAACAGATAATTTTTACTTACTCACAGTTGAAATGTTCTTAGCGCC